CCTCGCCTGAGGGCTAACATCTCAATTTAGTTTCAAAACACCTAAGCCAAAATGGGTATTTTAGTTTGTCACCCTAAAATCACCAATTATATGCCCACCAATGAATATTTCACTATTTATTTGCACTCAACCCCATCCATAAAATCAAATGTGATTCTTAATTTTTAGTAGAAAGCATAGCCCTCTCGGATCATTTCATAATAAATTTTAACTATTCAATTCACTAGATCGAAAAGTAAATGAAGTTTGAAGTTTGAATCATCATAATTATGAAATTAAAATATTGCACAACAATCTTGATTCTTCACATGACCATTTCTCTTTTTAGGGATAAGGACAAAGAAATCTACTTAAAATTCATGAGGAAGATACAACATGGATTTTATATATAAGAACACATTTCCAAAATAAGAAAGAAAAGTAAAACAAATTCACTCGATCTCTTCCTCAAAAAATCCCTTGAAGTTCATTTGAATCTCTTTCTCCCTTTACAATAATACTCAAATCTCTCTTAGAAATGTAAGGAAGAAGAAATCTCTCACTTTCACTCTCCTCTTACAACTCTTAGAGACACTCTCCAAACTCTATACTCATGCCACCCCTCCTACCCTAATTCTAACATAAAAACACTCTTTTATAATGTAGGGATGAATTTTGCCAAGAGCCTCCTTAGACACCTCTTCAAAATCCTTACAAATTTAATGCAGTTGTAAAAATAACCGTCTGTAGCACCTATGCGCCAAAATCTAGAGCTTAGGCACTGTCTTCTCTGGATTCTTGCACTTAGGCGCTAGTTCAATTTTTGAAAACGATACCTTCTGACTCCAAATTTTGTCATTTTTGCATCATTTAAGCTCAAAATGCCTAGACTTAGTTTACTTGCAATAAAATATAAAAATACATTTCATTAAATTGCAATATCACCAAATATAAGCCTTAAATATATATGTAAAATTGAATATTTTTTTCTGTGTATCAATAAGCTAGTAGATAGCTAACATAAGATTAAATGTAACACTTTGTCTCATTAAAGAAAATTATGATCTAAACATAATAACAATATTATCTTATCTAAAAAGATTAGAAGGTCATTAATCAATGCTCTACTATATCCTAAGATCTATGTGGGTGTGTTGGTAATTAGCTCCTTGAAATAAAAACATATTTTTTTAAGGAAATTTCTAAAAATACAACATTTGATAAGGATTTACTTTATTAGGAAGGCTAATCTAGGCACCCACTTAAAATTTCTATAAATGTGTTCGTTTTAAGTTATACATAAACTATGTTGATTTGTGTCTATTAATCAAAATATCAATAACAATGTCAATGCAAATAAGAGATTCTTAAACTTGAACAAGATTTTGCGTTGTTAAATTAGAAATATATTTTGAAGTTCATTAGGAATGAACTTTAGAATGAGGAGTCTTATTTAGATATATTAATGAAATTAAAGAGAAAAGGGAAGAATCCACATGAAATTATATTTACTTCAAGTCATAAGTAAATGATTTTTGCAAAGTTTGACTTGATTAATCCACTCATCATGAAGCAATTTACCTCTAAGGAAACATAGTAATATAGACAGGATCCCCAACAAAACTTTTTTTTTGCAAAAAAATCTTGTTTAAGAAAGTTATTGAGCATATGAGATTCTTTGCAGTAACCTCTCCATCCTTAGGCACAGATGTAGGTTGGAAGTTCAAATCACTTCATAATAGAGTATTTCTAGATAATCATTAAAATTTTATATTTATCCTTTTATCTTTGAAGCTTTATGGTCAATTTAAAGCTCAAAGAAAAATCTTCTCAAAGTTAATAGAATTTTCTTAAGAAGAATATACCAATAATTAAGTGTGCTAAAAAATCAGCTTATGAAAGGATAAATACTTTAGAATTACATTCTTAATTCAAGTGAACATCAACCGAATAACATCATTAGGTTATTTTTAAAGTTGACCTATTTTTTTAAATAAATTATTAGTTGAATGTGCCTCTAGAAATGATAATTCATAAACTAAAGGTGTAACAAATGGTACTTATAAAGAAGCATGCTCCTTAATTAAATAATAAAATTTTTAGAATTTTAATTAGATGGTCATTCTTTTTATGCTTTAACAATCTTGAAAAAATGTGTCAGCATGACGTGATCCAAAACCTAGAAAATCATATCTAAAATAAATTGCTACATTATCACAATGATTTGATCCCAACAAAAAAAAAAGGAAGAACACCTTTAATAAGTTGAGAATCTCCCCTGAATGGTTGTACCACTACAAAAGCAGACTATATCATATGAAGTGAACATTTAAAAAATGACTTTAGGGAAGTTTTAAGGAATTTGGATAAATAACTGCAAAATCATAATTGAACTATACAACAACAACAAAGCCTTAATCCCATTATGTGGGGTCGGCTACATGAATCCTTTTTGTCCATTGCGTCCTATTTAGTGTCAAAAATCATAATTAAGCTATATTAGATAAAAATGATTTTAAATAAAAAACTTCTTGAAAGCTTCATTCAAGAATAAAGTCATTTCAATATGAATTGTTTCTCCTAAGACACCATATCCCGAGATTTTTGGAAAGGGTCAACTCGTCTAGTACTACTATAAATATTGATTTCTCTTTTAGAAATAATATAGTATTTAATGACAACTCTAATGTTAGTTGATTTTATTGTAAGGGATGTTCTCAATTTTCTCGTCCTAACCTTAGATAAGTTTTAAATGACTTGTTTGGCCTACGTTGATAAGAAGGAGAAAAGAAAAAAAAATTATGGCTAATAAAATATATTACTTGGCTCTAATTTTTACTAAGTGAAATAAAAAACATCATGCACCCTTCTAAGATAGGCATACAAATTAAAATTCCTGAATTGAGACAATACTGACAGTTGTTTCATTTCATCTCAAATTACTCGTCAAGGAAACACCATCATCGACTATTTTTTGTTTGCCTCATGATTAGTTAAGTTCATTTATTAAATTTTTATTAAAGATTATTGACTCGCTACACTAATTCTACTCTAGGATCATCAAAGAATAATATTTCATCTCCGATGGAAGAATGTACCATTGTATGATAATTATCATTCATTAGAGAAAATATAAAGCTGAAATAAAAATAAAATCATTTTCCAAATCATCGTAATAAAAAATATAATCTAATCAACATTAAAATCTAATTCATCAATTTTAAAACAAAATCAAAACCTTCAAATCACATTAAATCACTCTCTCCAAGACTGGCTTTTTAAATTTAGATTGTCAAACCTTTTAGTTGTTAATCCTAATGCAAAATTGAATTCCTTTAATTTTATTAGACTGGGTTTGTTTAAGTTTTTCTTTTTTTACCTTTCTTGCTAAGTTCTCCATTGACTTATGATAATACTTTTAGGCATTGCTTGGTCTAATTTCCTTGATTTAAAATTCGAATAGTTTAGGATACATAAACATATAAGGAATGATGGCACTATATACCACTAACATTTGAATCAAGGTTGTTACAAATTTTAGATATGCATCGTGCTCACAATATCTTGATTGGGATGCATGTCAGGTTGTGTGGTGCTCACCAGTCCACCAATAGATTGACTGGGATAAATTGACGTCTATTTTAATGAACCAAATATTAAAAAGAATTGTTTTAATTTATCTATTTAGATCTAGTCTATCCTCTAAATGGTGAATGGTTTTGCTTTCCACCAGTAGCGGTGAATGGCTACTCATGAATGATTTAATGCTTCCATTAAGATAGCAACTTGAATCTCACCATTGCTACAGTTTATCTTCCTTAGTCATATCAACTTTAGTTTTTTCCTTTCTCTCAACGTCCACCCTCTCCAACAACAAAAAAAAAGTCTAAGGAATTAAAAATGAGAATCATCCTTTAAGCTATTTTTCCATGTCAATATTAAAACTTCAGTCAATTATTATCTTTAATTTTACACCTCCTTATAAAACTTTAATAGTGTTCATAACTTCCATACGCCCCTCATTTTTTTCTGCATTCCACTAATATCAAATTGTCCACGTCCATTTTCAAAACACTACATTCCATTCTACTTCAAGATGAGTTGGGAAAAAATATAAACAACAATGCATTCTACAATCTAAGCTGTTATGCTTAATGGCATCCATAACTTTCAACTTCAGCTCATCTACAGCTTTTAAATCATATATTGCCTTTTTCTTCTGAAGAAAGATTGTCTCACAATTATAATAGCTTCCATAAGCTTCCAATATTGCTCCTAAAGTTTAATGACAGTGAATCTCTACACCGAGAGAATATATGAAACAATCTATATTCATTTTATTTATTTTGAAGTTTTCTTGAGAGTTACAAGACGGTGTCCCTTTGTAATTAATGGATACTATTAGTGAAGGATATCAACTGGGATAAGTCTTGTGCCCTTTCTCCTATGTAATTTCTTACATTAAGAAATATATAAGCATCATTCTCACTTTATTTACTTCTATGACTTTCTATGGGGTATCTTTCGTAGTTAAAGCTATCAAATTCCCTCATGGAAAGATTCATTTCCTAGCATGAATAATTTATATTTTATAAAAAGATGCTATGTTTGAAATATATATATATATATATATATATTATATATATATATATATTTCACCACGTCAATTATCTATTTTAATAACACAAATGTCTCAATTGTTGCTCAAAAAAAGATTAAAATAATTACAATAATATCTTACGGTGGCTCATGGACATATAGGCAAATTTAGATTTAGGGTCCATTAGGAAGAGTATTTTTATAAACTCTTATGATGGGAAGGTATTTTTGAGAATCAGTCAATTAATGTCGCAGCAGAAAATAAATTACTCTCTGGTTTCTTTCAAAATTATTTTTAGTATTCAAAACAATATTATAAAAAATTACTTCCGTTTGAACAAGTTCACAAGTCACAACAACTATTTTTATAAAAAGGCCAAGTAGTCGCCCAGACAAATCCTCAATAGCGATTATCAGTTATTTTCTGCATTGCCAATGCTCCAAACTTGGATTCAATCCTCGCCCCTACCTCCTATATAACACAACTCTCCCACTCTTCTGCTTCTCGGATTTCTCCGACTCACTCCTCTCTGTTCCTCTAACATCTGGTTAAAAATGACAATGTCATCCATGGATTCATCTTCAATCATCTTCAATTATCTCTCCCCAACTCTTTCTCCAGCTATCGCCGCTTCTATCATCATCATCTCAGCTCTTCTACTCTTTCCCGGCGGTCTGGCGTGGGCCCTTTCCCTCACGCGCCCAACATTCTCCGGGCCCACCGGAATTGTTTTTGCTCTCGCCAGCTCTGCCGCTCACAAGTCACTTGCCGCCCTAGCTCGCTCCTTCGACGCCCTCCGCCTCATGGCTTTCTCGGTCGGCCTCACTCGCTTCATCGTTTCAAGCCACCCGGAAACCGCAAAAGAGATTCTTTCGAGCCCAGCCTTCGCTGATCGCCCCATTAAAGAATCAGCATACGAACTTCTGTTTAATCGCGCTATGGGTTTTGCCCCATTTGGGGATTACTGGAGAAACCTGAGAAGGATTTCGTCCACATATCTTTTCAATCCGCGGCGAGTTTCATCGTTCCAGAAGCAACGGAGTGAGATTGGCGAAGGAATGGTGCGGGATATGAAAAGAATGATGGAGAGAAATGGAATTGTAGAAGTGAGGAGAATGTTGCACTATGGGTCTTTGAATAACGTCATGTTGACTGTTTTTGGGAAAAAGTATGATTTTGCAAAGGATGAAGGGTTGGAGCTTGAGTTGATGGTTAAGGAAGGATATGAGTTACTTGGGGTCTTCAACTGGGGTGATCATTTGCCTCTTTTGGGATGGTTAGATTTGCAAGGTGTGAGGAGAAGATGCAGAGCGCTTGTGGCTAAGGTCAATGTATTTGTGAAGAAGATCATAGAAGAGCATAAGAGGAGAGCCAACGGCGTAGGGATTGATGAGGGTGAAGGTGAAGATTTTGTTGATGTGCTTCTCGGTTTGGAGGAGAAAGATAGACTCTCAGAATCTGATATGGTCGCAGTTCTTTGGGTGAGCTATACAATCGTCTTGATTACTAATTTAGTTAGCATTTTTCTACTGTGTGAGATTGTTCTGTTGTTTTCGATTTTTATTTATTTATTTTGTATATAAAAGATGTTTTCTTGTGTTATTGTTTAAGAGGTAAACAACCAACTTTGCATGGCCATGTCTCAGGAAATGATCTTTAGAGGAACTGATACTGTTGCCATCCTATTGGAATGGACGTTGGCTAGAATGGTTCTTCATCCTGATATTCAATCGAAGGCACAAGCTGAGATTGATTCTATCGTTGACTCTTCAAGTCCAGTATTGGATTCTGATATCCAACGACTTCCTTATCTCCAATCCGCCAGTATTAGATTCTGATATCCAACGACTTCCTTATCTCCAATCCATAGTAAAAGAAACCCTTCGAATGCATCCTCCTGGTCCTTTGTTGTCATGGGCTCGCCTAGCTATCCATGACGTTCATGTTGGAGGTCACAAGATTCCTGCGGGGACGACTGCAATGGTTGAATGCAACTGGGCTGAGCCTAACAAATTTAATCCTGATCGATTCATCGATGAAGATGTCAATATTCTTGGTTCCGATTTAAGGTTGGCACCCTTTGGCTCAGGTAAAAGAGTTTGCCCTGGCAAAACCATGGCATTGGCTGCAGTTCATCTTTGGTTGGCTCAGTTGCTGAAAAGCTTCAAATTGCTTCCTTCGAGAAATGGTGTAGATTTGTCTGAGTGCCTAAAGATGTCTCTCGAGATGAAGAATCCTTTGGTCTGTGTGGCTGTTCCAAGGTTCGAGTAGTCCTGCTAAGATGACGTCTAGTTATAAGAAATTTGTTCTTTGCAAATTGTGGCCATCATAAATGATTTCGTAAGCTAGCAATTTATCGAAAATGTCGGTACATGTTCATTTAAAGTGTCAACTTTGTTCGGTTGAATTTTAAAATTTGACATTGTAATAAAGATTCTCTTGTTCTATGTAAATATTGTAATTCAGTTTATAATATAAGAAATAAATGAATTTGTTGCTAATTTATGTTTGAATTTGAATCAAGGGATGGGCTTTGATGGATTGCAATTTAATTGGTTGGAATTGAGTTGATGCAATTCATGAGCTAACACTGTGTTTGAATTGCTACTCAAATTAAGAACAATTTTTATATTATATAACCAAGAAAGATTTTTCTTTGAAATAATTTGTTAAAAATAAAGAGCAATTTTTCCAAGAAAAAAAAAAAGGAACAATTTGCTAAATAATCATATTTTGTTCACTTTTTTTTCGAACTAATATTCAAATAATCTCAAACATAGTTTTGATTTATTTTAATAACGATTGTTTTTGTTTTGGGGAAAAATTCATTGAAATAACTTTGACAAAAAATTCATTAGAATTTGCTATGTCAGAAAATTTATATGAAAGCCGTCCGAAAAATTACTTGAAAAATATTAGTGACCTTTTTTTAAAACTTCTCTTTCCAATAACTTGACGTCGAGAGAGACCTCTTCCCTCTTTCAGAATATCAATAAAGTCATGTCATAAAATCTAAATCACTTTTTCATATTTTAAAGTAACAATTCAAAAATAAAGCAACAATATTAAAGCAAGTTCCAACTGAACATTAAACATGAATACTCTCATTCTAACTAAAATACAAACTTTTATTGGTGATATACAATGGTTCAATCTGCATGTCGGGGCGCGATATATATATATATATATATATATATCACATTAACATGGAAAAATATTTTTCCGCTTATATATTTAGTGTATTAAACACAGTCATATGTTCCGAGGAGATTTCTTGGCCCTTACAGCAAAAATGTTCATTTTTGCTGTTTTGTTTCAATATTTAGCATACTCACAGCTTTCCAATGTTCAACTTAGATCAAACCCAATTCTCCCTCTGTTTAATCTAAGACTCATTTTGAACCTATTAGTATTAATAATTACAAATCTAAAGCAAATTTAATATCATCTCTTGAAATCATTCTTTATTAATTCATAATTTTTGGTTTATTAGTAGAACGTCCTTCAAAACAGAATTTTTTTTTTTTTTTGCTTTGGTAATAAGATCTTTTAGATAAAAAATCTTAAACTATTAATTCAAACTAGTGAAACTATATATGATGAACTTTAATTAGAATATTCTTCGACGATTCATAAGAAGCATCGAACAAACTTCTTATAATATCTCTTTTCAATGAGTGATAAAATTAGGCGCTATAATACAAATATTACGGTATATATAAAGTTAATAAATCCATTATAATTTATTAAGATAATAATAGTTAATAAATTTATTTTCCTTTAGGGATGATTGTTCTATTGATGCACTTTATATTACATCCACATTGTAGTTCTGGTTGCCTTTGTGGGTGCTCATGATTGTTGTGAGAGTGATGACACTAAGAGAGGGCAATGAAGATAAAAATAATTTGATTGTTGTGCTTGCAAAATTGAGGAGTATTAAATGAGTTGCACCTATAATGAGCGATAAATTGTAAATGAGCTTACATCGGATGTGCTGATGGAAAGGCCAAATATGGATAATCGAGGTGGTATCTACGAGTTGTGGAGGGTACTTGTTGACCATATTTTTGGTTAGCACTATTTCCTGACATAAACTTAACCGGGTTTCACATGAGCTTGGCCTTGAGCTATCCCTAACTTTAGAATATTGAATTTTTAACTTGATAAAAATCAAAAGAAAATAAAACAATCTTCAAACATAATGAATGTGGCCGTTGAAAATTCAAGATGGAAGATGTGGTTTGGATTTAATTTATTATACATATAAATTTGATTATTAGAAAATAGTATTTTAATTTTGAAAGTTAATATTTTAATTATTGAAAATTCGAGATCGAACCAATTTCATAAAAATATTAGTTTAAATAAGCGAGCACAACACCACAAGTGATGCATCTACCCCGAGGAATAGACATATCACTTACTAGTGCGGCTAGATTAGATAAACTAAAAAACTTATGATATTCGTTTGGTCTGCGAACCATTTTTTATATAACCCGACAAGTTCCTCTATCTAATATGGAAGATTAGATAGGGTTTTATTATCTGGGTTCTTAAAGCTCCCTATAAAGGCAAGCCCTTATAGTTAATTATATCTTAAATGACTGTGGTCACCTAAGAAAACTCTTGATTTAGATCAGAAAATATTATCTCCAAGAATTTCAAAGGATGTGACTTTTAAAAGATCGGACCAAGAAGTGTCAAATGAGAAAGGCACAAATTTGGAACAATGTTATGAAATCCAAAGGGAGAAAACTAGGGCTTGTCACAGATCCTGAAGAGAAGTTCAATGACTTTCAGAGCTATTCTATGGTTTGTCTTCAATTTCAAGAAAGAAATTATTAAATATTTCATTCTGCCAATTATTATTATTTAGGGCTTACATTTGCATGACACAATCATATAAATAGCCTAGAAGATATAAGAATCTATGTCGTAATGAAGGACAATCTCGGAGTCCTAAAACGAGGTAGGGCTTAAATTGCACAACATGATTGTGCAAAGACGTAAAGATAAAGTGAGGATTTAGTTGAACTAGGCAAACTGCCTCGAAATCCTATGTTTGGTTGTCTAACTCTAAGGATATTTTTGCTTTTGCAAAACCACTTGCTATTGTAGAAGGCTTCTCTTGTACTTAGCTCCAAGCACCTCGATGAAGTAGCAGTCATAAAGTCTAAGGGTTCAAAAGTTTAAAATAACAAGTTTAGTTCAATCTTTATGGGGGTGGGGGGACAACAGTTAGGACGCAAGGCTCCCTCAATCCGACACCAATTTTTTCTTTTAAATTTACTTAGCTGAAACGAGTTGTTAAGCTCATTTAAATTTGGGAAATCTCGTTAGCTGTAAATTCATAAGGACGTATTATGACATTGTTGTTTTATTGTATTTTTGAAAATGTTGTTTAATTTTGAAAAATGATTTTGTGGTTTTCAATTTTGAAAAGGATTTGCAGGTAAAGCAAGTACAGGTAAGAAAATGTAGTAAAGTAAAAGGAAAAGAAATTTGCATTGTAAATATATAAACGCGTACATGTCCTCTTTTGGCACTCCGGCTAGAAGGTCAGAACTTGTAGCATATATATAATATGCAGGAAATTTAAATAAATTACAGGAATGGAAAGCAAGAAAAATTTGCTTAAGGTGTACTTACCGAATCCTTGGTTATAACTTGGTGGATTCTTAAAGGTTTGTCGGCACAATTTTAGGGGGGGTCCTGTGGATGCTGTCGGTCGCTGGATTCGGAATCCCTTCGCCCACTTCGGATGGACATTTAATTTATATATATATATATATATATAAGGGAAAAGAGCTAAGCTATAGCTCCATACATTTAGATAAAAGAGCACTGCACCTCAAGATATATATCTATCTCGAAAGAAAAAAGCAAGACTTGAGGGTCAGGCTCGATCAAATAAACTAAAGAGTATATGACATCGTTTGGTCTGCAAAACAATTTTATTTATAGGTCGATAAGTTCTCTTATTTAATATGAAAAATTAAATAGGGTTTACATTAAGTCGGGTTCGTTAAGATTTTCTATAAGGCAAACCCTAATATTTAATTACATCTTAGATAACCGAAGTCACTTAAGAAAACTCGATAAAAATTAGGGGATATTATCTTCAAGAATTTAAAATGATACGAATTTTCTAAGAGATCAAACAAAGAGGTGTGAATGGAGAATGACTCAAATTTGGAACATTTATTTTGGAATCTGAAGGAAGAAGAACTAGGGGATGTCACAGATACTGAGGAGAACCTCGGTGACTTCCTAAGCTATCCTACTATTTAGCTTCAGTTTAGAGGAAAAATATTTAAGTGTTTCATCCTGCTAATTTTATTAATTAGGGCTTACAGTTGTGTGAAAGGTTCACATAAATAGCCTGGAAGATTTGAGGATTTAGGTCATAACAACGACAACCTCAAAATCATAAAGCGAGTTAGGGCTTATATTGTATAACAGAGCCATACAAAAGCCTAAAGAAAAGTTGAGGACTTATGTCGCACTAGGTGAAAAACCTCAAAGTCCTATGGCTTGTTGTTTAGTTCTAATTAATGGTTTAGCTGGTGTAGACATGTTTTCCTACTGAAGTTGGTCATGCTGCCCACAAAGCTAGCTCTAAGCTCCTCGTCCTGGTGAGTTTAAGTTTTTTAATGTGTCAATTCATGATGAAAAATCAAGTGTTTCTTAAGGTCATGGTTATTTAAATATTATGGGGACTATTAAAGTTGATTCTATTAAAGTTGATTAGAACGAAGGATCCTGCAGTTCCCTCGTTCCGGCACCACTATTTTCTTTCGGATTCACTTAGTCCAAATGAATTTACTAAACCCAACTTAATGAGTTCCATACTTTCATTTAGACCGTGAAAAATCTCATTAGCAACCGTACGTTACCTCCTCCGAGGAATTCCCGATCATCTGATAGAGACATTTTAATTTAGTTAAAATTTTTTTTTTATTTTATTTGAGACTAAATTTTGAGTTGTCTTATATTTTGACTGTTGTGGCGGTGAATTTTATCTTATTTTATTTTTAGTTTTGATTTTGAGATGCAGGGTGACCTTAAGCATGCAAATAAAAAATAGGAGGTACAAAAAAGTAAATGCAATAACTTAAAAGCTTACATGTCAATTTTTCCCGCTCCTCCACCTGAAAGGCTAGCTTTGACAATATGTATATAATTTTGCAAGGAATTCAAATTACAGGAGTAGATGAAGGTGTAGTTACCAAACCCCAAGTTATGACTTTATTGAGTCTCGAAATATCTTAGTGGGTGATTTTAGAACAAAATAGAACAAGTTTTGTTCGCCCTTCAAA